GAATTTTTCTTTCATTCTTAACCCTCTCAAAAATTAATAAGCACGCCCCCGATTTGCTGTCAACTGGGCTTACTTCTACTCTCAATCATTATTGGTTTTAGTATACAATTTTTATTATGATTTGAAGTTTATCACATTTATGTATGTTATATATCTACGATACAACATGTATTTCAAATCAGTTCATTGTTTATTGATGAAAATTTCGCTTCTTCTGCTACATTTTTTGCTTTCTACTACTTTAGAAAAAAGAAGAAGAGACGACAAGTCAGTTGCTACTTATCAACTTATCAATGTCTTGTTTTTCTTCAATTTTTTATGGTTAGGAATATTTGAACAATTTCAGAGCTGTGATAGATGTGATAATTGTTATAATCAAATTTACCAATTAAGTAATGGAAGGAAAGAAAGTAAATAATTTCCAACCCATTGAAGAAATAGTCTTAATGAGACACGTTGAATACTATGTGAGTGCAGTGACTGACTGCAGTTCCCGATTCAATTATTCTAATAGCGTTTATTATTCCCCCCGCAATTTAATCGGAAGATATGAAAGGTATCCTGCTTATGGCGATTTTCCTGAAACGTATTCTCTTGTAAGTTGAAAGCATCTATTGTAATCAAAGTGTATAGCATGCATTTTTTTAAATATAAGAAAATCTCCTTGCTAATATTTTGACATGTTCAAATATGACTTCCTTGAAGAATTTGGCATATGTGTGTACATATATAATTCAACATACCTACATCTTAGTTTAGACAGGGAGGCAGGTTTGTTATGGAGGGCATTTGCCAAACCAATTTTTTGACAAATCTAATTAAAACAGATCTAATCAGGCATATTATAATTGAGATATCAATAACACAAAAAAGCAAGGATTTTTTTGATAACCCTAAAGATGAACATGGAACTATATATAGAGTTATACATTCAAAAAGTGTTTGCCTTGTGTAACTAAAAACCAAAACGTTCACCTCAATTTTGGGAAGCTAAAGGTATCGCTCTTCATTATGTATATGCCTACATATGGAAAAATTTGAAAAATCATACTCCCCTAATATCTTGTGACCATTACTCGCGAGAATAAAGTTTGTTTATATGAGCAATGGCCATTTCTTGCGAGTAGAATACTATACTGTTTCCATAACATCAGAATTATGTTAAAGTAAAATCATTTATGAAAGAAATCCTGAATGAGAGTAATAAGGCATTTCATAACAAAAAAAAATTAGAAAATGAATTCAGGTATATTTCCAATAATTGTCATTTCATTCAGTGTAAAGTTGTTCAAGAATTGGATGGTTAAAATAAGTAAAAGAATGTAGTCGATGTGAACTGAACCCACGGATATTGCTATGGAACTCTCTCTATGCTCTACTCTATGTGATAGAAAAGTGCTGTATGAAGTGTCAACTTTAAAATTACTGATTCTCAAATTTTAATTATTTGACTTGGTTTGTATAGAACAAGGAGTCTTATGTGTGAAAATATACTTTTCTACTCATTTCTTTTCTATAAGTTAATTATATAAAAAAGGTTTTTTGAAGTTGTTTAATATTGGCACCATTTGATATCATAAGAGATAACAGTTTTGTTGCAGGTATTTTTTGTTTTGTAGGTTTAAATTCATCAGACATTATTTTCTGTTTCATTTATAATTGAAACTCGTAGTTTAGTTTGTAGATCATATCAGATAAGGATTTCATTTGGAAAATTTGTAGTTTTTCTGAGTTGACTGAGTTGTCGTTAGTGTCAGTCCATTTGCTCTTTTCATTGTAGTCTTTTTTCTTTAGTATTCCCAATACTTGAATGAGGTAATGACGTGAATAATCAACATAACATCTGACCTATAGGTACTAATAGAAGTACTTGGCTTGATTGAGTACCTGAGTACCTGAATTTACAGTTTACAATGTGGATGTACCAATTTAAAAACCGATGGATAAACTAAATCGATTTGATCATTTAACAGGTTGCACCCACAATGTTTATGCTTGTGAATTTACAAGGATTCTAAATAATTGAGTTTGTAACCCTTCCTTGCATAGTGCAAAATTTCCGTATCATTAAGATTGGGAAACTTGTGGTTGCATGCCAAGTAATGGTTTGGAAACGTCGAATTATTTTTTCCAAGTCTGAAGGACCTTTCATGTTCAGCATACCGTTACACTCCGGACACTTAAGCTTATAAACTCCAGATTTCTCTAACTTGTAAGTGTGAGTGGTCATTTCTTTGGAGTAATATTGCTTTCAGGAAAACATCCTAAATAAAAAAAGTTTTGCGCGACGAATATAGCTTGCACATAGAGCAATACTTTTAGACTAGTTTTTTCATAAAAAATATTGTTGTATAGAGGGTGAGTGCAACATTATTCAAAATTAAATTCTTAATCAACCCTGTGAAGTGAAGATGTGACCAAAGCAAGTAGCACACTGATATGCTTATCGTTTAAATATCTCAAAATTGAATTATTCAACATTTTGTATAGGGTGAGTCAAGAAGTAATAGTTTTTCTGGTGACGTTGACCATGAACCATTCAACACACACACGAAATTGATTTAAAGTATGAAACAAACATTAGGTGATGACAAAAACTGTGAAAAGGAGATTTTTCTATAACTCATCCTGTAATTGATTTTCTGAATGTTTGATATGATGAAGTTCAAGTCAAGCTGATCAATAATGTTCATGGGCCTACCTTGAAAAATGGACACAAAAAAATTGAAGCAAAAAAATCTTTGTGATTTCTAATGTTTGAAGATTTCAATTCTCAGGAAACAAATATCTCGGTAAAGAATACCGTTGTTGTTCAGTTCAAAACAAATAAAATATGAGAGAGAGCGAGAACAAGAGGAAAAGAGAAGTGAGAGAGAGAGAGAGAGAAAAGAGAGAGGGTGGGGGGTACTGAGTTGGTCTCCAGACTTCCAACAATGTGGTGGGAAAAGTGTATTTTGAATGTTATAGCAACGAAACTATCAAAATGTGAAATGATCACTGATATTTCAGAAGAGTGTTTGGCTGGTATCTCAGCAGTCTGAAGCGCAGACCGTTTGAAACTTGGGCATAGCAACAGCCGGGGTTCGTGGAGTTGCCCAAGATTGGATGAGGTCATATCTAGAGAACATGTCACAAACAGTGAGAATTCAAGGTGTTCACAGTCAGTCCTTGGCCTGCAAGCAAGGAGTTCCACCGGGGTCTATACCCGGACCACTGCTTTTTCTTATTTATGCGAACGACTTGATACAATACCTAAATAGATTTTCAAAGGTACATATAGTTGCATATGCAGACGATTCAAATGTTCTGGTCACTGATTGTAATACATTAGTACTTGCAGAATCAACAGAATCCATATATGAGAAAATAATGAAATGGGCTGAAAAAAATTATTTAGCACTAAATATCAGCAAAACAGCATTAGTCAAATTCTCAATGCAGAACACCACCGAAACTTTCAAAATATATGAAGATAGCCAACTAGAGGTGACATCCAAACCACAAACAAAAATGCTAGGTCTATTTCTAGATCATAAGCTGAATTGGGGTCCTCATATAGATTCACTATGTGATAAACTACGAAAGAACTGTTATGCACTGAGATTTATGTCGAATCATTGTGGAAGAAAGGTGCTCCTAAGTCTGTACTATGCAACTATTGGCTGTCACTTGCGCTATGGAATCTTGAATTGGTGTATGAGCTACTCGGCTGAAAGAGTATTTATATTACAAAATCGTGCGGTCAGAATAATTGCTAGTTTAGGATGGCGACACTCATGTAGAAGCTCATTCAAANCGCTTTGGGCTTGGCCAAACAAACACTGAACACCTGGATGGCAAGAAGATTTATGGACTTCTGGCAGAATCTTCCAGGATTGGCTCACTCCAAGGCGTTTATTCACCCTTCGAAGCTTGATACCAAACAGTTGTTGGACTACAGTAGGGATGAACTACAATGTCTAACAGGCCTTCTTACAAGTCATTTGAAAAATCATATGCAGAGACTTGGACTGTCGGAAGACAGTATCTGTCGCCTCTGTCTGGAAAATGATGAAACAGCAGAGCATATACTTTGTGCCTGCCCCGCTGGGGACCGAATCAGGTTCTTAGAGTTTGGCAGATCCGTACTCTCACCATCTGACCTGAAAGACAACTCACCATACAAACTAATCGGCTTCGTTCAGAAGCTGGGTTTATTTGGCCGAGTGTGAATAGGTGTGAGCCACAATAAACCCTTGTGGGTTGCGGTGAAGGGTCGAATATACCCACTCACTCTAGACCTACCTACCTACTATGACAACTTTGATTTTCGAAGAAAAAGTAAACAGGGAGAACATTTTCCCAAAGAATCAAGGAGCATATAAGTAGTTTTGTAAATAGAAAGACCAATTCCACATTTGCAAACCACCTTTTAGCAGAAGAACATAAGTTCAATCATGAATACGATGTGTTACATTTAAAAGAGAAGAGTTTCAAACTCAATCTTCCAGAATGTTTAGAAATCAATAGATTCAGGAATTCGGGTAATATACCGAATGATCAATTAGAAATGAATAACTCCCCGTTACTAAATATTTTTTCAAATGTGGAAACTGGGATATAAGCCCAAGTAATTTAATTCATTACAACTCGGGTAAAACTCAGGTACTTGAAATGTAGGTAAAATTAGGCATATTAAGCATGTTGCGTTTTTGTAAAACTGTAAAAATTGTCCATTTTTCAAGGTTGGGACGGCTTGACTTGAACTTCATCCTATCAAAAATTCAGCAAATCAATTATAGGAAGAGTTATAAAAAATCTCCTTTTCGCAATTTTTGTCACCACCTAGTGTTTGTCTCATACTGTAAATAAGTGTGTTGAAATGGATTGAATGGTTCGTCAAGTTTCCCTAAAGCTTGAAGTATAAAAAAATGTACACAATGTCACCAGACAAAACATTTTGAATAATGCTGCACTCACCCTATATAAAACAGTATCTTTCATCAAAAACCAGTCTGAAAGTATTGCTGTATGTGCAAGCAAATTACCACTTACCAACTTTGACACCCTGTATCTAGAAAACTAGCCATAGGATTAAGATGGGCCCATGGACACTTTTGATAAGCTTGATGAACCATATCATATCAAAAATTCTTCAAATTTCACTGAGACCCATGCGAGGTTCTTTCTAGTGAGTGGGTAAATTCTTATGACTGACTTGCTAAAGCAAATAATTCAAATATAACTGTAATGAATTTGCTCATCTGTGACTGACCTCGAAAGTAGTGAGTTATGTATCTGGGCAACTGTGATTGGTTGGAAGATGTGTGTTATGGATCATTTTGCTCACTTATCCAACAGGAAACGGTAACATAATTGATACTTTTCTCAATAGTTACAGAAAAAGTAATTATAAACTGAAACACTACTGAATGTTTTTACAAGCTCCATGAAATCTCATTTAGAAATGAAAATTGAATGAAACTTGGAAGATAAAGTTGCTAGAAATAAACTATAAATTTGAAACAAAATTGGTTCTCCACTTTATACCATTAGCAGGAAAATTTGCTTTATAATGCATATGTTGACAATAAATGTCACAACTGTTGTATAGATGTAAAAAATATTGTGAAATAATCAAAATTTGAAAAGGCTTTGTTCATGTGTTCATTCGCATTTGAACATATGATCCGGAGAATACTGGTATATCGAAAAATATAGTAATGTCAGTTTGTTAAAATTCAATATTTATTTGTTTTCTATTTGATATCTGGAAATATTCTGTATTCAAAAAACATTTCTCAATTGCTTCGACATAATTTTAACAACTCCTGTTTATGTCACATATATTTGAATCTGGATTTTTTTTTTCATGAAGAGAACTTATGGAACCTGGTGGAAGGAAAGTGAAGGGTATCAATCAGATTACAGACCACAAGATGCCGATCCTTTAGGTGCTCAAGATTTTCTAGTTGTTAGGTAAGCAAATAGAATTTTAAGAAATCCTGAATTCCCAAATCTCACTACTTCTTTTCTTGTAGATTCGAAGGTCCAGCCATTCCAAGGCAAATTTTCATTTATGAAGTTTACAATCCAGGAGCAGTTGTACGAATTTGGGGAAAAATCGTGTATAAAATCGATTTGCCTTGGAAATTGCTATGGGAGGGACCACCACAAACTCACTCTCATAACTCCAGACTATTTCAGCCTCAAATCACACCAATCAACGAGATGATTAAGTAAGTGTAAATACAAACATTTTCAGAACACGTGGTTGAGTTACTTTTATGATCTGTTGAGAAGGCCTGAATTGGATCAACAATCATTTACTTAACTAACATAGAAATCCAGCGTAAATTGAATCTATTGAAAACATACCACACCAGAACAAAAATACTGTCTCTTGATGCCAGTTTCGCTAACCAAATTACCACCATGATAAGATTATAATTATATAGGTGTCAGTTTATTAAATTGGTTTTATAGCTAACTATTAGGTCCCCATTTGATAAAATACATTATTGCATTTCTAATGTAACAAGTTTTCTATGCAGTTCCTCAAATAATAACTGGTTCAATTCAATCCAATTCAATTTATTCATTGGTTTTACAGATTACAGTGAAAGTAATATAAAACATGTCACAAATTACATATTAGGTAGACATTTCACATTTATAACTGACAATTTTAAAAATAGAGTAAGTAAATTGAAATATATTATTGAATGAAATTATCCAATTAGCAGGAAGTATTTGCAGATTGGCAAATAATGGTCTGCATGATTCTCTCTTTAATTCAATAAAGTTCTAAGGCATTTTTTTCTGTAGTACAAATAGTTTTTGAGTTGCTGATGATGAACCCCATTATAAAATTCTATATGTGAGTAGTGACTGAATTTCAGCATAATAAATTTTTTTAGTATGGACAAGTTGAGAACTCTTTGTAGGCATTTCAGTTGGTATATTTTGCTGTTTTGTTTGGACATTGTTTCTCTGATATGGAATTCCCAATCTAATGTGTCATTCATAATTATACCTAAAAATTTTATGTTTTCGCATTGTTTCAGTTTTACTTCTCTCATTTTAATTTCTATGTTTTCAGTCCTCTTTTGTCTAGGGTGAAATACTGAAAAATTTGTTTTACCAGAATTGGCATATAATTTGTTTGTTGAGAACCAAAGTATAATTCTTGTCATTATATCGTTACAGTTTTGTTGGATGGCATCTAAGTAGTCTTTTACTACTAGGATCGACAGATAATCTGCGTAAAGTGTTGGTTTGTATTCATCTAAGTATTTAACAATATCTGCTATATATAAAGAGAACAATAGGTACAAGGATACTTCCCAGCAGTACCCCTACATTTATCGATATCAAATCTGAGCAGTGTATGCTGTTTTGTCCTTTGTGAGATATCTGTACATATCGTTTTCTACCATCAAGATAAGACCGAAACCACAATCGATCGTGTGGAACACAATCAAACGCTTTGCTCAGATCGATGTATATTCCAATTGGACATCTTTTTTTTGTATAATTGTTTTAATATGTCTATATATGTTTCTGTTGTTGCTGTTGTGGTTGATTTGGATTTTCTGAATCCATTTTGTTCATCTGGTATCAGATTAAATCTCACAATGAAGGAGGTCAACCTCTCTAACATAGAATACTCAAATAGTTTCTCAAACACTGATGTAAGAGACAATGGTTAATGTTTTCTGGTAAATTCTTTGATTCTTTTTTATATAAGGGGATCACCTTCGCTACTTTTAAGGACTCTGGGAAAATTTCTGTTTCTATCAAGGAGTTCATGATTAGACAAAATGGTTCAACTAAGTTTTTCGCAAATTCTTCAATTATATTGTTAGGCAAGTCATCAGGGTAAGAAGAACACTTGTTTGTAAGTTTTGTAAAAACATCTTTAATTTTTTTGTAAAAGTATCTTTAATTTCTGATTCTGTAAATGGGAGTACCACTATTGAATTCATGATATTTCTCTGAGTAGGGTCAACATTTCCTCCTACATCTGGTATATTATGTATAACTTTCTGTGGTGCATCAGTGAATAAATTAATAAAGGAGTTTGCCATAGTTACAAGTGAAGCGATCTCTTCATTTTCATGTATCAGTTTATATATGATAGTTTTACTTTTGTTTTCGGAGTTCAGAATTATGTTACCATAGTGATTACGTTTACATTTTTCCACAATTTGTTGGTGATTACGTTTTCTGACTTTATAGTATTCGCCTAGTATTGGATACTTTTTCTGTAGGATATATAGATCTTTAAGCTGTGCACTTGACTGTTTCACTTTATCAGTTACCCAAATCTTCAAAACTGGATTTGATTTTTGAATTTGTATTAGAAATGCATTAAAAAAGTGATTTTGAACAATGCTTTCAAATTTATTGTATTTGTCATTACAAGTTTCATGGTTATATAGTACATCCCAGTTTTCCTTTTTCAGTAGTTGGGAAAATTTTTGTTTGTTCTTTCTGCTAGAGTTTCTACCTAACTTTATATTTTTCCTGTCAACATACGAGTTATGATTCACTTTTACTGTGATATATCTATGATCTGAGAGAGGAGTGTCCTTGACACGGCTCTCTGCCTCAATATTTGAGTAAATATTATCGATTCTAGTGCAAGATTGTGCAGCTACTCGGATATCTTGTTAAGTTCATATTCGGCAAAAATGTCTAATACTTCCTCTCTCTCATGGAATAATGTTTTAAAATCTATATTGAAATCTCCTGTAATCTACAAACAAACATTTATTGTAAAGAAAGAAATTCTGTGACAGAAAGTCGCATTTTTGTATTCACGACCACACTATTCACTACATTCAAGTTACTGATGAGCAAGGGAGCAGTCTCCAATCCATTTTTCGCCCACAGAGCAGTTTCGCCACCCTTATATATCTTGCGACAATAAGAACGAACCACATGATAGCGTTAAATTGGGAAATTACTCACTTCAAATTCTTTTAGCCATGTTTCTATGACGGAGATGAACATAGGATTTTCATTGTTCACTTCTACTTCTACTATTAACAATTTTGACAATATATTTCTTCCATTTACTGACAACGTGAACATTTTTGTTATCATCAAAAACTTCGCTGATTGCTTTGAACTAAAAATAATGTGAAGTGGTATTACTCCAACTGCGTTGATTTTGAATTCAACAAATGTTTCCTTGGAATGAAAATAATAAGGCTGCCTGTGTATATTGAAATAAAGGCTACAATTCTACATGAATTTCCCAGATATTTTGCATAAAAATGGGATATTCTTGAAAGTTTCAATTTTGATAAGAGGAATGACAGCAAACAACACATGGGGAAACTGCACATGGTTTGTAACATTAAAAAAAATCCACTGAAGCATACTTGACAATTTAAAAAAATCCGTGACCATGTGAATCATGTGATTACATAAAAATAAATAAAATCAAATAGAAACGAAATACTTATAATTTTTTGGAAAAGCGAAAAATTTAACATCTTCTCGAAATAATTGTTTTTATGTAAAATTTGCTCAGGATTTAAAAATTCACTCTCAGTTGTTGCCCCCTATTTTGATTTCAAGAATTTTAATATTTCACCATAGACTCTGCAACGTCGATGAATAAAATTTTGCAAGCTTCTCAACATTGTCTCTTGTAATGATTGTATATCTCGGATTGATAGTGTAGCTAGTTAGCAAGTATTTTATTTGGATCTGTGTCTTTAGGGACAACCATAAAATACCATTCATTTGAGTTCGGTGCTCCCATTATTCGAACAGTGTCTACTTGATGATATACATTTCTCCTCAATATTTTCACAACAAAATAAATATAGCTATGAAATAATCACCTGCGATAAATTGCCAAAAGTAAAACATTTCATAACCAAATGAAAAGTGAGACATTATGTGCTACTTTATGTGTTGACATTGGAAAATTAGATTATTTACTAAGAATAAAACGTATTTATAACAGGAAAATAAGCTTTTAAAAGCACCCTGATATTAATCTAATATAATATTATTTATAAGTAAATAAAAAACACAACAAAATCTACACAGATTAAATTTTACACCTCAGTCTTGTGTCTATAGTACCCAAAAAAGATATCAGATATTTGACAGGGTGATGCAACTCTTAGTTTCCTGGTCTACAGGTATTTGTCAGTGATACAACTCGCGATAAAAAATAATTGAACCTGTTGCCAATCCAAAGCAATGAACCAAAATATGCTGGTTACAAATGGTGATTACCAAAGGCGTTAAAGGAATCATTGTAGGCCCATAATTGTGTTTTATTCTCTGACTCTGAGTCCACTCAGTGTGACTAATTGAACGTTCGAAATATCGGACTCCTTATCGTAGAAGGCCTTGTCACGGTAATGCGGGGCTCTGCCGTAATGGACATTATTTCCATAGCTACTTATGCACCATGAAGTTACCAAAACCCTCGCGGGTTGCAGTATTGGGTTGAATAGACCCGCTACATCTCAGACCTACCCTACCTATCGCCTCACTGTTGTTCACCAACAGCGTTTCTATATCCCTACCTCTTTATATTTTCATACCTACAAACTCAAGCGATAATGTGATGATGCAGTGTTTTTTGTTCCTAACTACTTTACAGAATAGGAGAGTTTAATTTTTTCATTTAGTTTCTATTCAAGTTCAAACTATTGTTCAAATTGGTTGGAGACTGAAGTCAGGTGGTATCAGAGCTTGTAAAAAATTTCCTGTAAAACATCACATTTGAAATTTTTTACTGTAGTTAGTCCTTTGACAAAGCCTTGATTTTGATTATTTTGGTTCCACATTTACTTTTTCTCAAAGCAGCATTTCTAAACAAATCAAATCACTTTATTAATCCTGTAGAACTTACAAAGTTATAAGATAGGTCAAATAGCATTTTGTACATACATAAAATAATATTTAAAGTAAAATTAAACCAAACATACAAAATATGAAAGATTGTCATAGGCATACAATGATGGACAAAACATATCAAGTTCATTCAACTCCAGCTTCATTAAATTAATGTTATAGAGAAATAAAATTACTGATGATTGAGAAATTTATCAATGGCAGATAAATTATGAACTGATAAAAACATTTCAAGAGTGGTTTTGAAAACCTGAATTCTATCAGTAGTTTTCAATGATTCTATCATTTTGTTATAAATTTTTAGTCCCAAGTAAGAAGGTGAGTTAGCAGTTATATTATATTTGACAAGATTTATGTGAAAATCATTGCACTTTCTTATATTTACATTATGGTATGAGGAAATGCCACTGAAGAGCTTCCCCAAAGGCAAACGTCATATCTGATTCTAGATTCTATACGTGCATAGTAATAATTTACTAACTGTTCAGTGGTTAATGTCGGCTTAAGATTTCGTATCAGATACGAAACAGAACTTAGTTTCAATATCACATTTTCTTTATGATATTTGTTTGGTACAGTATAATTCGTTATAAAGTATAAATAAGTAGGAATATCAAATATCACAGGTGATTTTTGTCTTGAGTATTATTTTTTCCTCTTCAACTACCACTATTTACAATGGTAAATAATAACTGGTAATTTGGTGAAGTATTGTGTTTCATTAGAAAACGTAACAATACTTCAAATCTTGTGTATTTTTTTGTTTTGCACATTTCGTTTTCCCTCTACGGATAACAAAAAAATATTCCTATTTATGAATATCACTATTTATATTTTTATAATTTTAGTTCAATCCGATTAGAGTTTAACCAAAGCCACCTTGAATATCATTATTCTATAGATGCTATATTGTTGGGAGGATTTCAACCCTGGAGCGATCTGATGAATACAATTTTTCTTGAAGGCTTTACCGCTATTTCTATACCTAAAGGAAAAAGAGCTATTCAAAACATTCCAAATATCAATGAAAAGCAAGATATAATCTCGTATTTACCTGTAAGTTATCCATTTTCCATTTATTTATGTCAATTCCTTATAGAATATTTAAATTTTTAGGTAAACTAATTAACACTTTTCCCCAAAAACACTCATCTAATTATTTTTTTTCAATTATGTATTAACTTTTCACACTCAGTAAAGTAAAATATTAATTTTTGGGAAATAAATGTTTTGGCTTCTCCATCTTTACTATACAAAAGTAAAAAAAAATAATTGATTTTCAACTTATCTGAGAATTACAAACTGGAAACTGAAATCAAATGAAATGGATACAAATAGCGCTTTTGAAAATTTGGGGAGTATTTTTTTAGAATGTATAATTATCAAAAAAATATTTTAAAGTTCTGACAATAATAAGAAATGGGTAATCTTAGAAGTTTACATTTAGGTTAAGAGTTGAAAAAACCATTGGAACTACTTGAAAAAAAATCAGTTTAAAAAACACGAGAATTCAGTTGCAAGAATAATACGAATCTATCATCAGAACAGACATCAACTCTGGTAATCTTGCCAAATCAACATGGTGTGTTATCAATTAAATTACAAAACCCCCAAAACTGATATACCAATAAATAATGATGATTGTCTTTTCAAAATAATCAGTTCTTAGATTCAATAACTATTTTATTGAAGCTGAATCAAATATATTCGAATAAAATATCTTATTGGAAAAAAGTGAATCATTTTGTGAATCGTTTTTGTTTTGAGACTTGTCCTGGAGCTGATCTGCTGATTTTTCTGCAGCTCAAATTAAAAACCAAGTATTTATCAAGATACATCAATGTACCAATCAACTTGGCGGAAAATTGTAGATAAAATGAATTAGAAGTCCCTCAAGGATCAGTTCTTGAACCAATGCTATTTCTTATTCACATTAATGATACAGAAAAATCACAAGTACCGATATTGTTCACTTCAGGGATGATCTTCATCTCCCATTCACAGGAAAGGTCCATTAAAACAAGTCTAAACTAATCAACACTCATTTTCCCAATACTAGCAAAACTCATTGTTTTGGGTAAGAACTTGTGGACAAATTACATTTGAAAAATTAAACTATCTAAATGAACAATTCGTTCAGGAGTGTCTCAACTTACCTACACTGTAGGTAAGCTGACATCCATCAGAAAACAACTACTTTCCTGGCTAATACCACGAACGGCATTGGATTATATCCGACAGGTGTCAGTGCAGGATTTTTCATAAAAGTAATTCTTGCATATGCTGTTGGCGATACAACTATAAACTAAAGTTCCATAATAGTAGGCATTAAATTCTCATAAATATTATTGCAATAAAACGAAAATTTTATTGTCAGGTTGTGATTCTATATATTTTGTTATATAATTATATTAGTATAATTAGTATAATTTCTGTACTTCACTGCAAGAGACAGATTAAGGCAAAAACATCAGTCATTTCTGAGAATTCAGTGCTTACTATTTTGGAATTATATCAATCCAAATTTTCTAAAGAGTATGGTACCAAGACTTTGGAATTGACTTCCAGATAATGTCAAATAACTTGAATATTTTCTGATTTATCACAAATTTCACTCAGTAGAAGTTTCCAGGAATAGTTATTTCTTCTTTTTTATAGTGCGGATGTAACTTTCGAACAAGTTAATTTTTGTATAAAGGAATCATTTTAAGAACTAGTGTGACATCACTTGCTTCCAAGAGGGTACTATCAACTTTTTGAATTTTTTAACGTTCAATTCTCTATACATAGACCTTCACTTGTTTGAAGTTCTGTTACAGAGTTATTGATGTTTGTCACATTTTTTGAATCAAAAGTTAAAACTATCGAGGAGAGATACATACGAATAAGGAAATAAATTTCGAAATATAAGCTGGGCTGTTACAAAGAAAACTCTTTGTTATATGTCAAGCTTTCGGTATATTTCACACCTTCGTCAGGACAACTACAATAATAAGATTATATATTGTGTAAAAAATATATAAATATGGAGAACTTACTAACGTGTTAATTTTCGACCTTTATTTTACTGGTGAATTTCAGATTGTTTTAGTTCGTAAGCTTGCTTTGTCAACAAAACCAAAACTTTAAATAACTAACTTTGGAGCCGTTTCAATTCTCTTTTGGTTGCAAAGTAACGTATTATCATTTGTCCTAGTCTCCAATTCAAACACCAATATCTCCGTAACCAGTTATCCAAATCGAAAACAGTAAAGCTCTTGTATAGAGAATTGACATACCTTTCGAGCGAAGGATCCCCCTTTCTTTTCAAAAAAAAAAAACTGATAATGCCCTCTATGCGGCGAGTGATGTCACAACATTGGCTTTTTCATCAAAATGTCCTAAAAATTATTAATTTCCATACAAATTTTGTCCAACCTTGATATCTTGTCCTGTTCAAAAGTTAAGAGGAGTTTAGTTCAAATCTGACAACTTTTACTTTTATCAAGGTATGAAGTGACAATCAACTAAACAAAAGTGTAAAAATCTATATCATAATGAACAATGGATATTTATACTTTGTTAATTGTTCAACATAATATTTTTCAAAAAAAAAAATTCAAAGAAAGAACAAACGTGCTATTAATTTATATATTATGGGCGGAAATTGAACATTCAATTTCATGTTTGTTTGAAGGTGATTGACAATGTTTCGTGATGAATTTCACTAGTTAGTTCACTAGTGAAACTCATTCAATTTCATAACATCCTCCTCTGGTATAAAGTGAAATCAACCAAATTTCAAGACCGGAGATAACTGTAAAAGCTATTTTCCGAGTTTTTTGCCCGTGGTCTGCATGATTTTATGAACCGGATCGGGAGAGTTCTAAATAAACACAACATGGAATCGATATTCAGGCTAACGGAAACCATCAGAGAGAACTTGAGGTCTAAGGACCCCAGAGAGCCTTCAGCAACACCGGATGTTTACCGAATCCCTTGTAGCTGTGGGTGGGTCTATATTGGAACCATGAAGAGAAGTGTAAGTACTTGATTCTCTGAACACATGAGAATTTGTCGCCGGTACCATACCGACAAATCAGCAATAAAGGAAATTGCATTTAGAGAAGGTACAAACTTATCACTTTTGAAGAGGCCCAAATGCTTCATAGAACTCAGAGTTACTATTCAAGATTATATAGTGAGGCGATAGATATTCATAAATACACAAACAATTTCAAATAAAAGGAAGAAGAAATAAATAAGCAGTAATAAAATTTGACTACCTGCACACCGAAATTTTAATAAAATTTTCAATGAATTAGTTACTGTTTGTATATATGACAGCAATAAAATCTTTTTTCAGTATGAACTGTTGGTGCACATATTCCAGTTCTTAGATTTGAAATCTTTAAGCAAATGTGCTCAAGTAAGTCGTAAATGGAAATTGATTTCTGAAGAGCAATCCCTCTGGCAAAGTATAAATTTGAAGGTAAGCTTATCACTTTAAAAAATGTTTGGTGGTCTCATTTTTGAAATATTTGTCATTTTTACCCGTTTATTTTTTCCGTGATACCTATTCCAACAATTTTGTTTCCTGAACTGGTTTGCACAGATCCTTCAAACACATGTGTCAAAGTTATCCTCAAAAAATTCTTCTGATGTATAGTAAGCCTTTTTGACTAGAATTGCCTTTAAGTTTCTTCTTAATGTTAGTAGTACCTACTCCATTATATATGATTGAGTTCTTGATTTGACTACTTGTTGGGATATGAACCTTTAATTGGCTAGCTTGTCCAGTATTGTGGTGAGGTTTTTGTAATATGAAAACAGATTGAAACAGCTGTTTACTGCATACACCCCAAAATGTTATGCCATACCTCAGATGAGAGTCTATGAGGACATAATAAACATTTTTTGCTGTGTAAAATCCTAATTCTTTTGATACTATTCGGGTGCAAAACACCCGGTAGAAAGTTTCCTATTCATAATGCCTATATGCTCCTCCAATTTCTCTCATTTATATTAATTCCCAAGAATTTTGTAGAGATCTTATTTTCCACTAGTGTAGTACTTTCCTTGTGAATTTCTTGTAGATTGCACTTAAAAGTAATTATACATTACAGATGCTTTTGTATAAATTATGTTGAGTTTTATAATGGCATTTAAATAATATGTCTTTTTATGTCTCCTTCATTCTTTTTTTACTATATTATAGTAAAAAAAAGTATGGGTCCTAAGAAAGATCCTTGGGGCACTCCTGCTTTCACATTCTTTGTACTTGAACAACTATTGATCTTAACAAATTATCTATGTCCTGTAAGATAGGATTCAAACCATTTCAAGCAGTTTCCAGTCATTCCACATTTGATGTAGCCTCCGCAACACAATCAAAAGCTTTTCACAAGTCACAGAATACTGCCGCAGTCGCCTCACCATCATTCAAGTTGCTGTATGCTTTATGGAGCAAATTATATATTACATCATTAGTGCTTTTGTTTTCCTGAAACCCAAGTTGATGAGGGGTGATTATTTTGTTTATATTAAAATGGTCATTAAGTCTTATTTTAACTAAATATTTATCAATCAACTTTGCAAGAATTGGTTGTAAAGGTATTGGTCCTAGGTTTGATGGATCATTAGGATCACCGCCTTAGGCAAATGTATGACCATTGATGTTTTAAAAAATGGTGGAAATATTCTATGCCTGAAAGTTTCGTTTATGAATTAAACAAGAACCTGTAGAGTGCAATCTGGTGAGTTTTGAAATATTCTGATAGACACATTGTCAGTTCCAGATGGTTTTTTGTTTCTCAGGTTAATGATTATCCGTTTTTGTTCTCTTATATTGGTGTTATAAAAATGCATGGTTTGTTGATTGATACTGTTTGAAGGTACATTAATGGATTTTAGATAATTTCTCAGCCACAGAACAGTAAAAGTCATTATTAGTGTCAGGATGTGCAAATTTTTGGCTATTGTTCAACCTCTGCAATTCATTCACAATATTCCATGTGTCTTTCACTTCATTAACATCATTATTCATTTTGTCTTTGTAACACATATCTTTTGCATTTCTTATTAATCCCCTATAGATTTAAGAAATTCTAATTCCTGTGGTAACCCAAGGTTTTCTATTTTTAATTTAAGCTTATAAACTCCAGATTTCCCCAACTTGTTCACTTTATCTTTGGCATTGAAAAGGAAATCAGACCTGGCATGTGGTCTGAATGCCACTTCCACATTGTTTTTTTTTAACCCGCCATTGTCTGTGTTCTTTTTAAAAAATATGTTAGAGTTACCCATTTCTTGATTTCTAGTTGTTTGACCTGAGGGCATATTAATCTGTAAGTGAGTTTACGGCTTTTTCTGACTAATTTCTGGATAGTATCTGCGTTGAAACCATTATTATGACCTATCTGTGTAATTATATCAATTTTTCTAGCAGTGAGAATTCTCTGTGCAACATTGAATTTTAGGCTGCTAATTTATGACTGACTGGATGGAAAGAATTGCTTGGGATGGTAATGTCTATATAGCTAGGTTTTCTGAAAACATTGAACTCAAATTTATTCTGATTGTGTGTAATGGTCAGGTCTAAGAAATTTATCTGTTTTTCTATCTCTGTTTCGAGTGTGAATTGAATGTTGCTGTTGACATTATTCATGAATGTCATAAATTGGTTCAGCTGTCGTTTAGTACCTGTGGAACAGATGAGAATATCGTCTACATATCTGTACCAAAAATAAATATGTTTTTTACCTAGGTCGGAATAAATAAGTCTGCTAAAAGTGGATTAAGGGGTGAGCCCATTGGTGAACCTGAATCTTGTTTATGAAATTTGTTGTTGAACTGTAGGTAGGTAGCTCTGATTTAGGCACACATTTAAAGCTGTTGAAACTTCAAAGGAAGTGATATGGTCACTTTACACTTACACTCTTTGTAAGGTATGTTGGAGAACATACTCTTTACATCGAATGAAACTAAAATTGAATTATGTGGCGTGGTTTGGTTCCTTATGTTTTCTACTGAAGTCGGTGAATATTTAATATTGTGAGGTGGGATGAAATTGGTAATATTTTTTAACAACTTGTTAAGACGTATTCCTAGTTCTCTTACCGGACTATTTATATACGAAACTACCGGTCTTATGGGGTTATCCTCTTTGTGTTTTTATCAGGTCATATAGTTTAGGGCAAGAGAGGTTCATGTTGGTGATTCTTCGTTTCTCTGATTCCATGAAAATGATTTTAATATCTGAGAGGAAATTTTTCAGTTCATTTTGACTATTTTTTCGTTGGGTCTTTCTTGATGACAGTAAGGTTTTCATTTTGAATGACTGATTCAATTTTCTGAACATATGTTTCTCGTTCAAGGATAATGATGTCATTCGATTTATCAGCTTTTGTGAAAACAATATTTTTTTATTTTTTGTCGTATAGTTTTAATTATGCCCGTTTCTCTACTGTTTGATAAAGAGAATGGATGGTTCTGAATTACTTCATTGATTTTGTATGCCCCTATATCTCTATTATCTGTCTGTTTCAATGCAATAACTGGATCTGTTATCTGTATTCAACAACAGTTGAATACAACAATTGAATCAAGAACTGAATTATGAAGGAGAATGGCTCTACCACCATGAGAAAAACTACTTCTGCAAAAAATAGAAGCTAACGTGCAATCAGGAATCACTAGTGGCTCACCATTTTTGAGCCAGTGCTCTGTCAGAAAAACAACTTTGGGTCATTTCTGATCTGATAGGAATATGTACAATTCGTCCATCTTGTTTCTAATTGATTGTATATTTAGGCACAAAAAGGTAAGATGTGACTTATCAGTGATGAGTTTCTTATTTATAAAAAAGAAGCATTATTACTATTTGGCAGTGAAACATCATGTTGAGTATGCACTGGTGTCTGAAAGTTGGTATAATCTTCACCTATAGGTTGCGTAGCTCTGTCTTCTATTTGGTCGTCAACCACACCATGACTGGAGAAGTGGTCATTTATGTGATTCAGTATCTTCCTTGCCAAACATCTTTTTCCCATATCACTAATGACTTGTCCATTTTTATAAAAGTTACTCTTTTTCTGAACAGAATTACAATCAATCATATATCATAGGTCACAGAGATATAGTAACTTTACTATGACACTTTGCTTTGCTGTCTGGATAGGATCTTTCCTGTACTGAGGTATTACTTCGAAACTGCCGTCTGCAGGTGATCTACTTGAATAATTTCAATATGGCCCTAAAGCAGGATGAACGAGAAACCTTTGCAAGACTAACCTATGTGATATAATTCAAAATACTTTCTTGTTCATGTGAGCATAATCTTATTTGTCGTGACCCAACATAAATTCCGTGGATAACACAGTTCCGTAGTACAACTTTCAAAAAGATATCATCATACCAAGTAGAGAGGACTGACAAAATGGCCCATCGGTAAAAGCGGAAGAAACTTGGAATACAGATGGCTCAAAGACCCAAGAAGGAGTAGGAGCCGGTATATACGGAGGCAGGCAAAGACGAGAGTCGCACTCAGCCTCGGACATAATGCAACTGTGTTCCAGGCAGGAGTAGTAGCCAACGAACACTGTATAGGGGAAATAAACAGGTAGAAGGTCACAAATAAAACCATTGCCATTTTCTCCGACAGCCAGGCGGCAATTAAAGCGCTCAGCTCATTTCAAGTCTTCTCAAGACTGGTGGGAAGCTGTCTGAGCGCACTTAAGGAGCTAAGTACCCAAAATAGGATCACTCTAGCTTGTGTACCCTGACATGAGGGTCACAAGGGCAATGAGGAGGCTGATGTTCTAGCCCGTGAAGGCGCATCCAAGGCTATGATTGGCCCAGAACCCTTCTGTGGGGTAGGGAAAGCATGTATAAAGACATCCATAAACTCATGGGCGCAAACCGAATCGATAGATTTGTGGTATAAGCTCCCAGGAATGAGGCAGGCGAAAGAGTTCATAAAAAAACCATCGCCCAGATTTACGGAAGACCTGCTAAACCACAACCGTAAGGGTAATGGTGGGTCTGACAGAAGAAACCCAATGCAAGTTTTGTCAAGAAGAGGAAGAAACCGCACTGCATGTGCTCTGTGAAAGTGAAGCGATAGCAAGGCTGAGACACGCAAGATGCGGGGAAGAAAAACCAGAGGCTGCCAGCTATATGAGAGGGTCAGTGTCAAGTCTATGGAGTCTCATCAAAGAGATCAAGACAGTGAGCTCTAACAACCAAGGAGCATCACAATAGATCTGTAAAGGTTGCAGTGAATCAGGTCATGACAATATAATCTAACATAAATTCTTCTTGTGTTGAAGCTATTTTCTGGGTTAATTGGCCATGGTCTGCAGTTTCGACATTTAGTCTACTTCCTACTCCAGACATTATCAAAGGTGAATAGCTACTGAATGAAGTTATCCTCACAGAACAAATTATTTGGTAGTATTAGATACATTTAAATATTTCAGTTAAAAATTGCTCATTTCCAAAATGAGCCACGTGTCATCGGCAAATTCAAGTCTGAAAATTAATCCTGGATGAACATGCCTGAATAAGCTAACATATTTGGTTTGTAAACCGTTTAGTGAAAATCTCACAATGAAGTTTCACTTGAATAAATAATTTTTTTTTCAAGTATATCGACGAATTTATTTCTTTGCATGAATCAATATTCACAGATATGCTTTCTACAATTTATTTTATTTTTAGCCTTACTGGCACCTGGTCAACTATTCCACATTGAACTATTTCAAACAAAAATGCAAAAATTTGAAAAAATTGGACTTGTCTTGGTGTGGAAATGATTTAGATAGTTTGGGTTTTGCTTGTTCATCGTAAGTAAAATTCTTTGTTAATATTTAGTAATAAATTTAGTTATCCTTGTGTTGATATATATTGCAGTTACTTCACAGTGTACAACAAAATAAAATCAATATTATAAAAAATTCTTTGACATTAACAAAGTAACTAAGATCTTTCTAACATATCAAATTGATACACATACACTGTCTGGTCAAAACATGAGGTGAATTTTCATTTTTCTCAATTTTCATCAATTTGTATTTTGTTCCAGTCAAAGTAATCCCCCTCATATATAATACACTTGTTCCAGCTTTTTTCCAATCCTCAACAGTTCTGATATGCACTTTTTGATATGTCCTTGAGCTCTCTCAGCGATTCGGTTTTTATCTTATCAATCCTCTCAAAACGCCATCCCTTCATGGATCTCTTCAATATTGGGAACATAAAAAAGTCGCTGTGGGCCAAATCTGGTGAATACGCTGGTAGACCGGGAGCCCATGACAGAAATTTTGACACCATTTTTTGCCGTCCGCCTTTTTCAGGGGACATATTTACAGCCACAAGCAACAGTATTATGCGATAAACGAATTTTTTGCCCATGTTACACATGCTTAAACATTAACTCTAGTTTGCAAAAAAAAAGCTTCTTTGACCAACATTTTACCGTCTGCCATTTATGCAACCGGAAGGCTATGTTACCCAACCCACATAAAAATAATTGGCAGACCGGTACATGGTGTTCTGGCTAAAGCATGCATTTTTTATTTAACAAAAAATGGTTAAAATTAATTTTCTACCGTCTGCCAAGCACAGCGTAGACTAACAGTAGCATGAAATGAAGGAATTTTCACAAGGCAGACGGTTTGCCGGTGTATTGATAATTTATAGGCATTAGTTAGCCAACAATTTTTTTTACAGTGTCTGAATCATTTTTACC